AAAAGATTGGTACTGTATAGCCGGGCCGAAGAGATTGTTTTTTCAATCGCGTGCATTAAGCACCAAATAAAATTTTAAAAGAGATTGGTACTGCATAGCCGGGCCGAAGAGATCGTAAATTTCCAATCGCGTGCATTAAGCACCAAACAAGTGATTCCGTTTAAGTGACGGTCGATATTAGTCCAAGTTTAAGTACAGTTTTGCACCCTTAGTTAAAACGTGAATTTTCCATTGGGTAAATTTCACGCCCGAAGAGAAAAAGTAAATCGCGGAATCTTAGTTAAAAATTTGTCAAGCGTATTGTGTTATGAAATCATCCACGTAGTGTTGAAATTAAAATTAGACGTGGACATTACGTATCAAATATAAAGCGCTAAGTAAATTCGAGCGATAATAGCTGTGTGATATGAACCCTTGTTCTTAAAGGAAAATAATACGAGCGCATCTTTGGCATCTATCCGACGGAACAAATTTGAACGTTTCACTCATTTGCCGTTGTGGTAAAATTTACTATTGTGCCTCCTTGGAATATAAACATCAAAGTTTTTTTAAGTGTGGATAGCCGTTTTCATCAAAGTAATGTGTTTTAAAAGTTCAATGTAATAGTTTGTTATGAAAAAACTTCTTTAAATCGACCAAAAATCAGGCAAATTAATTCACGAACTTACGCAAAATAAGGTGTTTACATCAATGAAATTTCACTGTGGGATTATACCTACAAAACTACATGTTTTTGGAAAATCTCGTCTACCTTCTACAAGGAAAATAACCTACTCAACAGCGAGCCAAGGATTTTTCAACTGTAATCATCAGCTATATAAAATAGAAAAAAAGAAAAACAATCGACGACGTAAAGTTGGCATTCCAAAAGTTGCAGTCTACCCCATCCATCAATCAACTAGCATGTAAAGGGCTTCCCAATCTTCATCGAAGTCCTGGAATTTTAAAGGTTAGTCTATTTGGAATATTTTCATTGTAATAAAAATAAAGTCAATTTGTGTGTATTTATATGTTTTATGATATGTTTTAATCGATTGTTTATTGAATCAATTTCCTTAAAGAAGGTAATTAATTATATTTGAAATAGTGGAATTTGTGTCAAGGAAAATGTAGTCTAAAAAATAATAGTCACCTCTTCAAGGGAGAGAACATATTGTGAGTTGGCCAACAGAACTAATAATATTCAAATTTTTTGATAACTTAATAAGGTTTTAGTCATAGTTCCCAATTTTTATAATATTGATTGTAAAGATCGCAATTTTCTGGAATGCATTGGATTTTGCATTAAAATAAATGAATGAAATTATGGCCATTGAGTTGATGATTTTTTCAACGAGAAGTTAGATGAGAAGTAGAGTAGGTAATTAACACCAGTAAAAAGTGAATTAGATACCTGATTTTTCGATGGAAGTAAGACAGTAGAAATTTTGTATGTAAGTATTTGAGCTAGTCGGAAGCGAGGTAAAGATTTTGTGATTTTATTAAGAATTAGCGAATTTTGGTGAGATAAGCTATCCCAAAGGGTTGATGAGGTGAGAGAGGAGAGAAGGGAGAAGCGGGTACGTGTACCTGAGGTGGTTGTGTTTATCCGTAAAAAGAAAGCACCGCCACAACAACACCCTGAAAAATGTAATTGTAGAGTGTGTTATCAAAGTAGCCGAGACAGGTTTAGATGTGTGTGCTGTAGTGTGTGACCAAGGTTCAAATAACTTGGCAGCCATAAAAAGTTTATGTCCTTCGGTTGAAGAGCCGTATTTTTTTGTGAACGACAAAAAAATATTTTGTATATTCGATGTACCGCATCTTTTTAAAAACATCAGGAATAACTTCCTTGACCACGATTTGATGTTTAACGGGGAGCGGGTATCTTTTACGGACATAAGAAGGGTTTATGAAATTGACAGCAAAAGTACCACCGCCAGAAGCTTAACAAAAATTACACCACAACATTTGTATCCAGGGCCGTTCCAAAAAATGTCTTGCAAGTTGGCATTGCAAATTTTTAGTAACAATGTGACTGCCGCTATACACACAGTATTGTCAACCAATGAATTAAATACCGAGACTGCAAAATCAACAGCAAACTTTCTACAGTATATGAACAATTTATTTGATGTGTTAAATAGCAAGACATTATATACCAGCAATCCCTATTGCTGCGCAATATCTGAAGAACGACCGTTTGTTAAAGACGTTCTTCTCAAAGGGCAGAAAGACATTAAAAATTTGTATAAACTTACTTCTAAAGGACCTACGCAACCACCATCTTTCCAAGGAATTGTGTGGACAATAAATGCCATTGTGGCCCTCTATAATCAGCAGCGTGACAGAGGATTTCAGTATTTAATCACCTATAGGTTAAATCAAGACGTCATAGAAAATGCGTTTGCGCAGTATAGACAGTGAGGGGGCTACAACGTTAACCCTACAGTGAGAACGTTTCGGACCACATTCCGACTAAGTACCAAGGCGAATTTATTGAAACCGTCTGATGAAAGTAATTGTGAATATGGTAACGAAGAAGTTCTCCCTGAACAATTACCATCAACATCACACAGTGAAGAGTATGAGAAAGACATGATGTCCACACCTAATTCTTCGACCAATAAATCCCCATCTTCAATGGAAGTCGTAGATCAAGGAGGGTCACCCTCGGGGTCACTGGATACAACTTTACCCCCAACTACACTACAAGAGTGCTCCGTTGTGTATTTCTCTGGATATCTTGCCAAAGTGTGTATTGAAAAGTTTAAGTGTGAAATGTGCGTTAACGTTTTAACAACCCCAAACAGTCAACTTTGTGATACAAAAGAACTTCTTATTTTGTATAGGACATATCCATCATCTTATGTTATGTCAAGTTTAACTTCTCCATCCGATAGACTAGTGGAAATTGTGTTCTCTGCTACTAATATTGTTAAAAAAGTGTTTGATAAAAGACCTGAAAGGAAGTGCATATCACAGTATTTATTTAAAACAATCAAGAGTAAAACCGAATGTAATTTAATCGCCAAAACAGAAGGCTGTGAAAGCCATATTGATTTTTTGATAAAAAAATTAATCAAATGTAAATTATTTAAGGAATGCAAGTTTTTAAATTTAGCAGAAATTCAGGGACGCCATAGTAATTTAAAAAAACTGAACATATTAAGAAATGTTTAATAAAATTACAATTTTTTAATTTATTATTTCATTGCTTAGGGCACTGAATTAAAGTTCACCAAAGTACATACCTACGAAAATAATAATTATTTGGCAATTTTGTAAAGTGACCGGATTAAGTAAATAAAATCCTAAACAATAAACCGTGATAATTACAGTATAAAAAGCATGTTCATCTTCATGAAAAACTCACTAAATTTATGTCTAAATTTATTTCATTTCTCATGCTTTCCTTTTTTTGAACACCATAAAAACCCGTCATTTCGCATTTTATTATTTAGTACCCAAAAAATAACACCCTTTATTTATTAAAAAACTACAATATACATGACAACCCATTTCGAACTATGAAATAAGGTGATTTTTACCACTAATCAGTGTTTGAAAAAAAAGTCAATATCTAGGAAATTGCTGTAGTATATACCTATACTACAGCAATTTCTTCTGGGGTACCTGAGGGGTAGTTATGGAGCGTAGAAGATTGAAAGAGAGAATACTATGACCTATATGTATCAGTTGAAAAATACCCTACAAGAAAGATAGGACAGACAGACGGAAAACAGCGCATTGCTTTTGGAATTTTAAAGTGGGGTAAAGTAGGGTGAAACAAATTTTTTTAATTTTTTTTTGTCATTAAATAAAATATTTCTGGCTCTCCTTCTACAACGCTAATTCTGCGTCTGCGTCTACATTCGTGTGCCCATTTGTAATTTTTTATTGTGGGAAATCGGAGAAATTAAGGAAATTAGGTACTTATAAATTAGCATTTTAGTAAAAATCACTCATGCCGTGGAATTATTGAAACAAAAAATTCGTTCATGCAGCGTACGCAAATGATAAATTCTAATTGACATAGGTAATTTTTCCGATTTCCGAAATTGAAAAATATTAAATGAGGACATGAGCAGATGCAGAATTACCAAGCGCGTTTATACTTTTTCCCTTTCCGAGCTGTTTTCGTCATGGAAAAGATGCTTAATTGTATTGAATTTGTTGTAATTAAGGAAATTGGGAGTAGAAAAACAAGGGATCTAAACTAATTCTAGTCTTGTGCGTGAGGTCAGGGAAGCTGGCAATACTTTGGAAGCAGGATCGCCCAAACCTTATCCTGCCTATGCTGCTATCATCCTGCCTCATCCTGCTTCCTATTTCAGCTCAGCAGCACCAACCGTTTTGGAAATATCAATTTTTGAAGTTTCGTTGCTGACTTCCGTCCCAGCAACACTTTGTAAGCAGGATCGTCCAAACCTTATCCTGCTTGTGCTGCTATGTGTACATGTCATCCTGCTTCATATTTCAGATCAGCAGCACCAACCGTTTTGGAGCTATGAATTTTTGAAGTTTTTTTTGTCTGATACATGAAGAATAATAAGTAATGGGAGTTGTACTCAATTTTTGTACCTCTAAACTATCTTGATTCATTTTGAAATCTGAAAGATGATTTATTGTTCATCAAATTTGTATAAGTATACGTACACGCAGATAGGGTTTCGAAGGCAACCTATATTTCTGATACATAAATCAATGTGGAGTATCCGAAAAAAAAACAAAAATCATTCACCGTATGAACACATTTATTGTGCAGACTTTCGTATTGACCCGAAATACCCAATTTGCTCCACATTTTTCAATTAGTGGTTGTACCATCGCAAATTATTCCATTTTTTAAAGCTCCACAATGTATTCTTGTTTAAATGACGTAAACATAAAAACCATGCTATCTGCTAATTCAGTTGTATTTTTGAGGTTTAAAGATTCAAAATTGCACTGCATACGTTAACCTTCAGTGACAATCCCAAGTTAGTGTTGTAACCTGGATCAGTACATTACTTGCTTACTCGCGATATAACATTCCATTTATTAACTACATCACACATTACATGTACAATTAACATTTACAAGTACACATGTCATATTGCATCGGCCGACGACCTTACATTTTTCCCTCTGTCGAGGTTGTCACTCACTTTGCGGCGTTGCCGGGTGTCGCTACTATACAGCATTTCTCCCTTCTAAAAATAAGACAAAACATCTACATTACAAATTTAACTTTGAGGGAGCTTTTATTTCTCGAGCTGATCTACGCAGTGGGACAGGATGTGATAAGGGTAGCGAAGGTTGTACAGTGGGTTTAGGTACAGACGTAGATGGTTGTGCGATCAATGGTTCTGATGGCTTCTCTTGTGCGGTAGGTATTAGGATGTCTGGTAAGTCTTCATAAGGCAACGTAATGTTTTCTGATATGTACGATTTCTTCAAATGATCAGCGTGCATTAGTCTTATATTCCCGTTTAATTTAATTAGATATGTAACTGCACTGACTCGCTGCATAACTACTCCTTCCATCCACACAGGCTTCCTCCCTTGAATAATATAGGCTAACACTTTTTCATTTTCAACAAATTCTCGCAACTTAGTTCTTCTCCTATCTTCATAAATCTTTACTTTCTCTTCCCTCTCTTTCAGTGTACTTGATAATTTTGTTTTTAACATTGTCAATTTTGTTCTCGGCTGTTGCTTTAACATAATGGATGCTGGGCTAATTCCGGTTGATACTGATGGTGTATTCCTATGCTTAAATATGAAATTGTCCAAAATTAATTGAATTGATTTCGTACTGTTGTTCGGGTTTAATAAGGACTTTCGTAACGCTTGTTTGACTGTTTGCACATTTTTTTCAGCTAAGCCATTCGAACACGCATGTAGTGGTGGAGTTAGCAAACAGTTTATTCCATTGGATGAACAAAATTTCTTGTATTCTTCTCCTGAAAATGGAGGACCATTATCTGAAACAATCTCTTCTGGAATTCCAAAATGCAAAAAACTTTGACGCAATTTTTCAATCGTTTTTGAAGAATCCGTTCCATGTTTCATTAAATAGATGTCTAACCATTTACTATGACTATCCACAACAATTAAGAAATGATATTGCTTAAATTGTAAGAAGTCAATGTGTAATCTCTTCCAGGATTTAGATGTTTTCGACCACGGTGTGTACGGTACATCAATGGGTTTGTTTTGATGTAGTTGACACATTTCGCATCGTTTAACATGTTCTTCAATATGTAGGTCCATACTAGGCCACCATACTTCGCTTCTTGCAAGCATTTTCATCCTTGCAATTCCTATATGTTGGCTATGAAGTATTTCCAACACCTTTTCTCGAAGATCAAATGGAATAACAAGACGATTTCCCCATAATAAACATTCATTTTCAATATTTAACTCGTGACGTTTTGAAAAATAATCCTTCAATCCTAAATCTGGTAATTTATCTGGCCATCCTTTTTTGGTATATTCTAAAACACGAGCTATTACCTTATCCTTCTTTGTAGACATGCTAACATCAGTAACTGATAATGGTATCTCGTTAAATTCTGAGAATGATAGCACGTCCTCGTTTAAAATGCTTTCCGAAGGTAATCTACTAAAGAAATCAGCATTTGCATTCTCATTACCTTTTTTGTATTTGATTTCGTAGTCATATGCGGATAATTCTAACGCCCATCTTTGTAATCTTGACGCGGCCAACGTTGGAATACCCGTCTTGACATTTAATATTGTTCTTAGTGGTAGGTGATCGGTAATTAGCGTGAATTTCCGTCCATAAATATACTTATGGAATTTCCTAACAGCAAACATTATCGCCAAGGCTTCTTTTTGGATTTGTGCATAATTTTTCTCGCTATTACTTAAGGTACTAGATGCAAACATTATTGGATGCTCGACGCCATCACTTAGGTGAGACATTACAGCTCCTACTCCATACTGTGAAGCATCCACTGCAATTACTATGGGTTTCTTGACATCATAATGCACTAAAAAGTTACTATTTACAATCATATTTTTACATTTTTCAAACACTCGTTGGTGTTCGTTAGTCCAAACAAAGGGAATATTTTTCCTTTCTAAGTCATACAATAATTTTAGTTCGCTTGAGGCCATAGGTAAAAATTTATTATAATAATTGAGTAATCCCAGAAATGATCTCAGTTGAGTTAAATCCGTAGGTGGTTTTTTCGAACAAATTTCATCAATTTTTGCCTTCATCGGACGTATACCGTTTCCATCGATTACATGACCAAGACACTCAATGCTTTCTTGAAAGAAGTGACATTTACTCAAATTAACCTTGACATTATGTAACTGCAATTTTTCAAGTACTTTCCTGACATTGTCCCTGCATTCATCAATTGTTTGACCCGATATGATGATATCATCAATGTAGCACGCGCATGATGGAATATCTTTTAAAATATTGTCCATTACTGACTGAAAAATAGCTGGTGCAGACGTAATTCCAAACGGTAATCTGGTAAATCGAAATAAACCCAAATGGGTATTTATAGTAAGCAATTCTCTACTTTCCGGACTGACTTGCAGCTGCAGGTATGCATTCGACAAATCTAATGTAGTAAAGTATTTCCCTTTGGATACTGTATTAAAAATATCCTCACATAATGGTAAAGGATAATGCTCCGTTTTTAAATTAGGATTTAAGGTTACTTTAAAGTCGACACAAATTCTTATTTTCTTACTCGATTTCCTCGGGACTACCACAATTGGACTCGCCCATTCAGAATACTTGGTTTTCTCCAAAACTCCAGATTCCAACATCTCCTTCAATTCCATCTCCACAGCTTCCTTAATTGAGTAGGGAATTCGGTAAGGGGCATGGAAAATGGGAACTGCGTTCTCCTTTAGCACTAGCTTTACTCGTACATCCTTTATGAAGGATAACCTGTCAACATCAAACACAGTATTAAAATCTTTCTTAAATCTCTCGACATACAATTCTGACACATTAGGGTTAATATTAGCAATACAATTTTTCCAATCAGGATACAAAATATCCAACCAGGATCTTCCTAACAGTGTATACCTACATTCATTATCAATGATGATTAACGGTAATCTAAATACATTTTTATCTTGACTGCTTAATTTTACATCCACAATTACTTGACCTAATACATTCAATTCTTGTCCTGATACACCCCTAAGCTTCGCCTTATGCTCAGCTAAAGTTAACAAAGGGAAAAGTTTATTAAATTTTTCACTTGACATGACTGTAACTGACGCTCCGGTATCAACTTCCATTAATACTGGCTTATCATTAACTAACATTTCTTTTAACAAAACAGAACTGTTGACTGACTTTACATTATTGCATACAAGTGTACTTATCTTATTTATTTCATCTTCTTCTGTAGACGTCTCTTGCTCCTCTTCGTTGACGCACTTGACACCATTTTTTTTCCAACAGACGACTGACGTATGACCTTGCCTATTGCATGTGAAACATTTCCAATCCCTCGCACGACATCTGGATTCATCATGGAACCTTCCACAATGACGACACTTCCCTCGACCGGACTGCCGGGGCTGACTTGTGCTTGACATACTGGGCTGACCACGACCTTTGGGACGCCACTGACTTGACACACTTCTACGACTGGACTCCGACACATGATCCGTAACTTTCTCTACCAAACCACCTTTTAGCGCTTTTGCCTGGTTCTCTGCCGACTCTATTGCAATCGCCATCTGACACGCCTTTGAAAACGTAAGATCCTTTTCACATAACAACCGCCGCTGCGTTTGTTCACTGCTTATCCCACAGACCAATTTATCTCGTAATGCCTGATCCAAGAACGACCCAAAATTACAACTATTTGCTAGTTTCCTTATGTGCATAATGAACTGCGACACTGACTGTTCTGGATTTTGGGTAGCTTTATAAAATTCAAACCTTTCTGCCGTTTCAGACTTCGTGGGTGCGTAATGCTTAAGTAACGCTTCTTTAATTTCTTTAAACGACTTTTTTGTGGGGTCTTCTGGCGCAATTAAATTTTTCAATGTGCTGTACACCTGGGGGCCAGCTAAGGTGATAAATAACGCGGATTGCTTTGTTGATAATGAGTCATTTATTAAGAAGAATTGTTCCATCCTTTCCATATACGACACAAAATCGCCCTTATTCTTCTCGTCGAACTGTTCAATTGAGCCCACCAAATTCGCCATTTTATAACGTTCCTTCTAATTCTAATCTAACACGAACACGACCTTTGACTTGCACGTTGCACCTTCACCCGCACTTTTTCTTTGAAAGAAAATTATCCGACTCGTCGCCAATTTGTTGTAACCTGGATCAGTACATTACTTACTTACTCGCGATATAACATTCCATTTATTAACTACATCACACATTACATGTACAATTAACATTTACAAGTACACATGTCATATTGCATCGGCCGACGACCTTACATTTTCCCGCTCTGTCGAGGTTGTCACTCACTTTGCGGCGTTGCCGGGTGTCGCTACTATACAGCAATGTGTTTTCGCCTTTAGACACAGGAATAATGAGAAATAGTTTTCACTATAGCCTATAGTGACTATAGGTAGTAAGATCTAATAACTTATAATAATAATAATATTTAATGTCCAACAGAAAAAAATACATTTTCCAATTACAGGACAACAACAGATTAATAGGTATAGAGTACAAAATAATATAAAGAAAATGAAACGAAATTCTAACCTTATACAGTGTGTAACATAGTAGTACGCAAAAATCCATGAATAACAATAAAAGAAAATAATTAAATAAACAGATATACCAAAACATGTAATGCAATCTAAGGGGTAAACAAAAATTATTAACTAATACGTAATATAACTAACCATTTCGAGTAATGTGGAATGAAATAAGTCAATATTCGGGCAAATTGAATCAAATAATTTACATGCGTTTACAATAGGAGATTTGTATAAAATATTTGTGCGAGGTGAGTAGTTCTAGAGAATGAGACATTGAAACGAGTATTGTATGAAGGAATATGAAAATTAATGGATGACAACAAATAAGGTGCATCCAATTTATTGTGAATAATGTTATGCAGAAAAGTAAGGCAGGCAACTTTCCTCCTGCTTTCGAGGGAGCTAAAATTGTACTTAGATAGCAAAAGGTCATGGTTGAACCCGCGAACAGGATAAACTCGTTCCTCCCTAAAATACAGCATTTTTAAGAACCGTCTTTGGATAGATTCGATCATGTTGATGTGCACTTTGTGGCGAGGAAACCAAATCACACAGCAGTATTCGAGTTTGCTACGCACAAGTGCAAAGTATAATGTTTTCAGCGAATCCAATTCTGTGAAAGACCTTGTATTGCGCACAATGAATCCAAGGGTACGCATCGCAGAACGACACAAAGTGGTATAATGATGCGTAAAAGTAAGTTTATGGTCAAAATAAATACCTAGATCTTTGACAAGATCTGTGCGATCTAGCTTAATTGAGTCAAGGAGATAACTAAACTCGATAGGTTGATTTCTTTTTGTATACGAGACCACTTTAAAATTATTAAAATTATATTTCCTTTAAATGGTAGAAAAACATAATCCTTTAATTATAATCATTATATACTTAAACAATTCACAACTCGAGGACAAACGAACGGACGTAACCGAACTTCCTATAAAGTTTACTCACGATACAAATATAGAAGGGGAGGATAAGAAAATAGTTCCTTTTGTCTTTTTAGGGGGTGAGTAATTTGCTGGTATATGATTTGATACATATAAATGCCATCTACTTAATTAGCTGATTGTACAAAAATCAAATCGACTACAGCTACAGCTCTATTAACTTTTTTCAATTCTAAATTTCAAGATTTTTTCACACCACAAAACTGATATCTGACCTAAAGAGTGAATTACAATATTCATTTTTTAATAATAAACTGAAACTAAAAGCGCTACGTTTTCAATTCGTTTTTAAATATATTTTTTCTACAACTGTCAAAAAAATCTGTCACTTTCTGACGGATTTCGAAACGCGAAGTACTAGATTTTTAAACGGTTAATTAATAAGTAAGGTTGCTATTGACAACGTGCGCGAAATCGTCAACAGTGAAAAATAGTTATTTACCTAACAAGTTCGGTAAGTTAATTTTCCCGCATGAGCACTTTGTTTGCAGCACGACCGTAGGGAGTGCTGCATTTAGTGCGAATGCGGGAAAATTCTTTCCGAAAGAGTTAGGTACAATATTTTTTGTAACGAGTTGCGTAAAAAAAGGTCAAAATTAATAAAGTTTTGTAAATTAGCTTTTTTTTAATCATGAGTTGGTAACACAATCATATGTTTGGTTGGTAACATAATTTTGTAATTACCCACTTTTAATAATGCACTGGTCACATTTAAAACTTCCACATCTTTGGTTAATACATATTTTGCCTTTGCAATGAGTGCTACTACTGGTCACGGCATTGCATCGTTTGCACTGAATATCTTGAGTTGCGTAAATACACTCGTTACATTTAAAATCCTTGGAAGCTTTGTGTGTGTTAATATGTGCTTTCTTAAACTGCATATGCGAATAGTTGCAGAATATCACTGGTCACATTTTAAGACGTTTTAACAATAAATTTTACTTTTTCTTGAGTTCCAATTCTGAAAAATAATTTGATTGCGTTATGAGTTCTTGTTTATATATTTACGTAAAACTTAGTGTACGTCTGTTTCCGATTAATCGCACTAAATACCCTCAACCAACGGTTTAATTGATTTTACAGCAGATGACAGTTAACCATGACATGACGTTCGTTGACTTCAATAAGTACTACCAACCGAAGAACGCGCATAACCCCTTCTCTCCAGCGGAAACTAAAAAAACACCGCGATGCGGGAAAGTCGTTTTCCCGTGCATCGAGGATGCTTGGAAACATTATCTTTCCATTCAATGAGTACAAAAAAGTATTTCGCGCACGTGACAAAGTTGAACTTAAACAGCAAATTTAATTAACAATCGGTTCAGTTGTAGAAAAAATATTGTATATAACGCTAGCGCGAAGTCATTTCGCGCATTTGACTGATATTTTGACGAGGCGAAGTCTCAATGCGCGAAATTGAACTTCGCGCTCTTGTTATATAAATAACTATTTTATTATACCTGAATCACAATCTCCGTTTTAAACACTCAAATGCGTGCGAAAAAAGGCCTTTAAAACACACGTGCTTTAAATTGCTAAGTAATGATACTTCAAGTATGACTTTTGAACTGTCATCTGGGTGAAATAAAAAATCCTTTAGGTCGCTTTCTGTAAATGCAGAACATTTCTTTGGCTTGTACCTATCCTTTGGTTGAAGCTTTCACAAACGCGCGTAATTTAGGGTATGCTTCCAAATCTGTTCCACTTTTTAATCGCAGCGTTGTTTGAAGTTTTGAATGAATGCACCAAAAGATTTTATTCGTAAGTAACGTGTATAATTGGTCTTTACATCACTTGCAACGTTAAAGGCACTCCGCTTCGCGTCGTGCTCTTAAACTCGTTGCGCGTGCTTTAAAGACTTGATTATACACTTGTATCTTAATATACTATTTTTATAACGTTTTCACCCTACTTTGCATCTTTTTCTATAAAAATATTAAATATTGAAATTGAAATATTATATTTATGAAATTGATTCGAGTTTATATTACCTTCAGCGAGAATTACAACAAGCAAATGCAAATTACATTTTATTGTGGTTTTTAATTTCTGATAACACTGGTACATACATTTTGTTTTACGTATTTCCTCAAAACGTTTATGTAATTAATTCAATTAATTATTTCTCTTTGAAACAAATTTTCCAGAAATAGAATGCGTTAAACTGATATCTAAATTTCCGGAGGCATATTCGTCCTTTAAATTAACAATAGATTCAACGAATCTGGATAAAATTTTAAACCCCGAAATATGGCCTTGTGGTACACTTCTGAAACGGTTTTTTCAGCCAAAAGTGATGAAATCCGCACTGAGTTAAGTGTCGTTAAATGTGCTACAAATAACTTGACTATTATGTGTATAAATGTGCGTAGTGTACACAATAAACTAGATCTTATTTATGAACTGTTGACCAATTGCAATTTGCCCGATATTGTCTGCTTGACTGAAAGTTGGTTACGTGCTAATGAAATAATCACTTTCCAATTACCCGGTTATATGGTAGGCTCTAGCTTCTGCAGAACCAATTCGCGCGGTGGTGGAGTGCTTATCCTTGTTAAGGAACCATTAAGGGATAAAGTTAATGCCCTTCCTGTTACAGCTACTACTGATCTAAATCTGGAAGCACTCTCGCTTGAAGTATGTCTTGATGGAATAAATCTAAAGGTTATTTGCCTATATAGACCGCCCAGATCTTCATTTGCTACCTTTCTGGAGCAACTAGAAGATTTGCTACATGTTTCTGATACCTGCGTGCACAGGACGGTAAATATAATATGCGGTGATTTTAACTGTAACTTGGCCGATCCTGGAAATGAATCAACGAGCTTAATCAACATCTTCGCATCCTACGGTTTGCATCAGTTGTTCTTTGACTACTCGCGAGTGCAAGGAAAATCCAAAACACTTATAGATAATATATTTTCCAACTTAAAGAAGTGTGATGTGGTAGCTGCAGACACTGTCACAAACTTCATATCTGATCATCATGCTCAGTTGCTTACCTTTACATTACCAAGGTTTTATAGCTCTAAAGACTTGCAGACTAAATGTGATCGTCCCATTACGGAAAAAGGTTTATTTAATTTCCATAACGCCTTGGAACATACAAACTTTAATTACTTATATGATCACACTTTCAGTGACGATAAATTCTCTAAATTTATAGATCATATTGTCGCAATTTTTATGGAATGTTTTCCTATTAGGATAACTAAAAGTAAACGCTGGGACGGTGGTATCTCATGGTTTACGCCAGAATTAAAACTAATGAGAAGCACTCTCAAACTACTACATGAAATGTACACTTTGGCAGGTTCGATTGGCTTAAAATCGGCCTATACTCGCTACAGAAGTGCTTACCGAGCTGCAGTTCGTATTGCCCGAATACATTCAAATGATAACGTCATTACTAATGCTAGTAACAAATCAAAGATGGTTTGGGATATTATTAATGCAAAAAAAGGCCAATCTAGGTTATTACTGATCTATACTCTGCTGACCAATGGAACCAATATTTTGTTAATATACCTAACGAGATATTATCCCACAATAATGTTCATATAAATGAACCCCTTTCTATGTTTAATATTTAATATTATCGTACCAAACAATATCTCTCAAGTTTTGACTATGTTACCCCTAATGACGTCAGAGACGCGATAACATCATTATCGGCGAGTAGAGCAAAAGTCATCTATGGGATGAACTCGTACCTACTAAAAAGAAATATCAACATGTTTATCAGTCCGCTAACATTGTTGATAAATGGTTGC